CCCTTTTCTTCCTATTTCACATTATCTATTATACCTTTTAGTCCTTATTTACACTTTCAGTTTCTCACACCAGAGAAACTGTTCAGTATTTGCACATGTGTCCCGTTTATTTCACTGAAGAGTATGGCCTCAATGAGCATCCATTTAGCTATAAATGTCTCTAATTTCCAGGCCCTCTTTCAGGGAATAGCTTATAGTTTATCTGTAGCAGTTAAGATACCTGCATTTCCCCTGCCAAGAATGACAGCTCTGTATCAGCAGCAGCACAGTTCTTTTTAAAATTAAAATGTCTCCACGAGTTTGACGCTGCCATCATCTGCATGAACCAATGGCGAATCTGTGAGTCACTTTTTTGTAGTTGGGTGAGAAGACTGGAGGACCCCTCCTTTCTCTAGGCATAAACAAGTAGGAGAACAGCTGGTTTTTGTTTCACAGAAAGATGGGGCAAAGGTTTGCTCATGGCTAGTTTCCTGTTTGTAATGTCTGAAACCAAGGGAGGTGACAACAGCTTTGAAGGTTTCATTAAAGAGGAGAGACTTCTTGCTGGTTGAGCTGGAAGAAAAGTAAGATCCACTCTCCAGTTGATGTCTTGGTACCTCAGATGCATGTAAGATGGATTGTATTATTTCCCTGCTGGCAAGCCTGGAATGACTCTCCTTTGTTGGCCAAGTAAAAACCACACATTTTAGCACTGTAACTCTACCCAGAAATTCCTACAGTTCCATGAACTCTTCTTGTCACTTTGTGCTTGGAATGATTTTCCCAAAGCTTCACCTGGCAATTTGTTCATCGAAATTCCAAGATAGCTCAGATGTCATCTTCCCTGGGTAGCCTTGGGTACCTTATTCATGAGATCAGGTGCCTTGTCTTTGTGATCTGCAATCACTGTATGATTCCTTCTATTATCAAATGTGGCTGCACCTGAAAGCTGTCAACACCACCAATGCACAGGCATTGGATTCTTTTGCTATGGATTGAGGTGGGTGTCTCTATCTCATGTACCCGGATTATTCCAAAACGTGGTCACTGCTGAGAACCACTGCTTTATCTTAAACCTTACTACATATAGTATTGAAGATTTTGTGTTTATCTTCCCCAAGATTAAGTTTCTTGAGAACTGGAATTATTTCGTATAGAAATACATAGTCCTTGAGATGTAAAAATGTCAAGTACTAGAAAGTGTTCGATAGGCAGTTTATGAATGAAGAATGAATGGATGAACAATACACATTCTAACCCCGCACCCACCTATATTTCGAAGCTCTCTTATGTTCACATAGTTGTTAGAACTTATGGAAAATATCAGAATCAATGTGGACTCAGGTATCGAGAGATAAAGGAGGTAGTCTAAGAGAAGTGTCTGAGAAATCAAATAAAACACAGCCTAAAAGAAATCAGGGAAAGTTTGAATAAATTAAGAGCAGGTGCTGAGAAAAATAGAATCACAAAGTCCGACCTCAGCAAAAACTTTGGGAAAAAGGGGCCGGGGATTTAGCGCAGTGGTGCCTTGCAAGCGGAAGGATCCAAGTTCGATCTCCGATACCAACCCCCCCCCACAAAAAAACCCCAAAAAACTTTGGGAAAGAGACAAGACAAGAAGTTCTGGAGCTAGAGATGAGGACCAGGAACATCAGCTCAAAATGTACATTAGCTTCCACTTACATAAGATAGACATGGAAGGTATTCAGAGGAACTTCCTTTGAGACCTAGACTCCGGGGCCTCAAGATCAAGATTTTGAGGGAGCCTGGAGGAGAATCAGGTGAACAGAATCCCAGCTCGAACATCACAAGACTCCATTGTGCTCTTCTTGCTCTGTGAATCTGCATTTGGGGTCAGAGCATGTGCTAAGTGGTTTACATCTTTCCTCCTATTTAATGTGCAGGATTAGGCTTATGACACAGTGTTTAGTATCCTCAACTTGACACATGAGGACAGTGAAGTTAAGAGGGATTGAGTAAGTGCCCCAAATCACCTGCCCAATAAGTGATGAACTTCTAAATGGGAGTAAGCATCACCGACCAGGGAGAGAAGGCCTGAGAGCAGATGGAGGGCTGGGCTGGGCTGGGCTTCCAGATTATCTAGCTAGGAAGAGGGATTTACGGCTTACGTCTGGCAGTGAACTAGGAGGCAACAAGTGAAGGGAACTGTGGCCATGGTTGTCTTAGTATTTTAACTCCAAAAAGCTTCTACCTGTCTGATCCTAGACCACTAAGCGGCCTTGAAGAGTGAGGACAAAGCAATCTTCCTATCTGGACTCCCAGTGAAAGTGTTTTATGGAGGCACAAGCCCCTTCTCGAAGGAAGGATGGATAAGAATATGTAAAATCCAGTAAGTCTGTACTATAGAAGAATGTTTGCGAATAAGGCCTGTGCTGTGATTACATGCAAGGACCCGAGTTCGATCCCCGGTACCAAAAAAAAAAAAAAAAAA